CATCGACACACTATAAAAGTCGCGCGATCATTCTTCGACACTCTCGACGCTCGTTCACTCGCGATATTCATTTAAAAACGGTTAAAAGATGCGAAAAATGCGGACGTACGACGATCCGTGTAACTGCGTATGACTCCGATTCACGCGCCAACATGGCGGCCGTATGACGCGTTTGACGTAGCAGTGACGTAGCAGTGACGAAGAAGTCACGCGCCAACATGGCGGCCGAACCAGTGCGCATTCGTTTCTGCGTATGGCCATTCCTGCGCGCAACTTTGATTTCTGAATATTGTCTACGGCTTTAATTAATAGCACATAATGATAAATATATAAAGATGGAATCAATTAATCATATTGGTCATATATGTAGACTTGCCCGAAGAAATAGAAAAAAAATTGAGATATATTTTTAATTTCTTTTTCTTTTAGTAAAGGATGGAAATGTCTATTCATAGGCTTGTTCTTTTTTTCCTCTTTCGCGCAATTTCGATTCAATATATAACGTAGAAAATTCATAGTATATTATGCTAATGATATGAATTACGAATGATTCGTTGTTTTATCGCGCTTTTCCAAAGTCAAATCTTATAATATTTAGTTTTGCATTTTAAAAGACTGAGAGCGATTCATATACAGAGTTTGAAAAGATATCCAATGCACGACAAATTATACTTGCGTTGATTAGTATTCATCAATACCGAACTGTTAATCGCGAATACGTACAATACTTTCACACATTTTTTTCGCAAAGAACGATATACGAAATGCAATATTTCGCGCCTCACGTTTCACTCATGCAGCCATCTTTCTTTGTTTAGTATCGCCATCTGCATTCGCGTTAAACGCCAGAATTAGGTAGTCCAGATACTTCGACTGCCGGTAAAGTCATCATTTTGTGCATGTCGGTAAATTGTTAGAATCGCGTCGCGCAAGCATGATTTTTTTATTTGTAACATAACAAAATATGTAATTAAAAGTTCATGTAAAACACGTGTTTTTAATCAAATTACATATACTTATTCCGTTAATCTAATACTTGTACGTTAACAGATTTAAGTTACACACATTGCATAAAGCTTCCAGAGAAAAATATCCAGAGGCACAAATATTTTATTATTTAAACGAAAACCATGCGAAGATGAAACAATAGATTAAAGAAGCTGTATAATTATTGTACTTTTATGTATAAACGTTTCACAAAATAAAATCTTTATAAATGAAATGTTACATTAAAAATATTAGTATAAAATTAAATATCCATGTGAGATTTAAAATTTCTTGTCCTTTTTTTTCTTTAGAATTTTTTTATTTTTTTTTTCTAAAGATTCTTTAAGCGAGAACTGCTTCTTTCACAAGACTATTGAACAATTTGAATATTTGATATTTTTTTAGTAGTTTAAATTTCGTGAAAAAATTCGAGAGAAAATTAGATTTTACCGTATTACTGCACATATCGATTAAATGCTATATCAAATATGTAGTGTAAACATTTTAATTTTTTTGTATACGATCTATTTTTTATTCTATCGATGTTTTCATAGTGATGCACCTTGAGCACTTTGCTTCATATGTTTGCACTAAAAATATATTAAAACAAATTATTTTGCAAATTTATTATTCTAATTTTTATTTAGAAAGACTAAGATTAAAAAAGACGTATGAATTTTTTCAGATATTTCTATTGAAAAAAACGCATCAGATAAAACTGACTTTCCTGTACATTTTAAATGTGCCAAAAGATTTGCTCTTTATTCCACTTACTGCAATAATGTACACTAAAAATGACAGATCTATATTAAAAATGATAGATCTATATTTAGTAGTTGGAAAGAAAGAGAGAAGAAAAGTGCATCTAGAGAATTTAAAAGAATAAAAAACAAATCTAAAAATAATAATACATAAAGATTAATATTATGTATTTTTTTCATGAGGAATGTGAGGCGCACATTTATGCATTTATTTATTTAGATGAGATTTACTTTAGAGCACATTCAGTATTCAACTTTAATTTTATTTTCTCTTTCTTATGATATATAAGTATAACATAATTACTTGCAAATGCTATCATTTTTGTGTGCTTACAGTAATACAGAAACAACATTACGAGTACTATATTTACAGATAACATCTGTATAATAAAAAAAGCACCAGTCTAATGGTGAAAAAAGGGTAAATATTGTAGACCAGCATAAGTATCAACCAATTACTTCACCGCTCTGTTTCATTAGAGTTGCAATTTTCTTTTATAATATTATAAATATTATAAATAAGACAGAGATTTCCATACGTTTCAAATAAATTTATATATTTTATGTATGTAATACTGCGCACACATATTAAAAGGTGATAATATCGCAGTTATAATAAGATACAATCCTGGCAATGTAGCGATTTTTGGATTCTGAAAATAATTTAATTTGATTTATTTTTGAGAAATGCGCACAATACTTTAGAACAAATTATTATTTTTGTGCCATGTATTACCTGTGTAAAATTCCACAAACAGTATCATATTGTCTGCGATATATGAAAAGCTTCATCGATGAAATATGATTGAGATATAAGAAAAGTAATATAGTACTTGTAATGAATAATGTTAATGTGGAATACATAAATATTTTATATTTTAATTTCATATAATCAAGATGAGATAAGACACTCATGATTACTTTAAAAATGTGTCCACAAATATCATGTAACTTCAACAGCTGCACATTCGGCAAATTAATCCTATTACGTTAAATGAATCACAGCAGCTTGTTTTAATTTAATCTAACCTAACCAATTATATTATATGCTTCTCATTAAAATGTATAAAACTGTACGTCGCACATTTAATACGATTAATATACTACGTAATAAAATGTAATACACTAATGAAATAATTAAATATTATTTTTTAAAGCATGATAAAATCCAGGCAGCATACGCTTATGTTTACATTCGACATCCAAAGCACTGAGAGGTTAGGTTAGGTTAGGTTAGATTGAAAAAATTTATCGTTTAACAGTTGGCAGCTCTACGAGATAGGCTGTGCAGCACTGCGCGTATATAAAATAAATTTGAAATCGCTTCTAGCCTAACCATCTTCACGCGATCGACTTTATTTGAATTGCACGGCATCGCATCGAATTATGATGCGGCGCCGATTTGTTCGAACGTAATTCGGGATATCGCGATGCTGTATAAGCGTCGAATGAGCACGAATTGTCACGCAAATATGATAAATCACATCTACTCACCGTTCACCGGCTGTTCCACAGGCTCCGCTCACTCGCCTCGGGACGTCCCATTCCGATCTTGATGCACACGATATCATCAACGCGAACGCGCGACACTTTATTCGGCACTCCCGATATTCGCTCGCATCCGATAATCATCATCAAAGGCGCAAATAACACGACGCGACTTCGCTCTATCTTCGCGATCGCGCTATCACTGAACTGTGAAAAATAGCTGTCGCGCACTTTCACCGACATATTATGAAAGTCGCGCGATCATCCTTGGACACTTTCGACGCTCTTTCACTCGCGATATTCGTTTAAAAATGGTTAAAAGACGCGAAAAATGCGGACGTACGACGATCCGTGTAACTGCGTGTGACTCCAATTCACGTATGACGCGTATGACGTAGCGATCACGCGCTAACATGGCGGCCGAACCAGTGCGCATTCGTTTCTGCGCACTGGTTCGGCCGCCATGTTAGCGCGTGACTGCTACGTCATACGCGTCATTGCTACGTCATACGTGACTCGGAGTCATCACGCAGTTACACGGATCGTCGTACGTTCGCATTTTTCGCGTCTTTTAACCGTTTTTAAACGAATATCGCGAGTGAAAGAGCGTCGAAAGTGTCCAAGGATGATCGCGCGACTTTCATAATATGTCGGTGAAAGTGCGCGACAGCTATTTTTCACAGTTCAGTGATAGCGCGATCGCGAAGATGGAGCGAAGTCGCGTCGTGTTATTTGCGCCCTTGATGATGATTATCGGATGCGAGCGAATATCGGGAATGCCGAATAAAGTGTCGCGCGTTCGCGTTGATGATATCGTGTGCATCAAGATCGGAATGGGACGTCCCGAGGCGAGCGAGTGGAGCGGCCTGTGGAACAGCCGGTGAACGGTGAGTAGATGTGATTTATCATATTTGCGTGACAATTCGTGCTCATTCGACGCTTATACAGCATCGCGATATCCCGAATTACGTTCGAACAAATCGGCGCCGCATCATAATTCGATGCGATGCCGTGCAATTCAAATAAAGTCGATCGCGTGAAGATGGTTAGGCTAGAAGCGATTTCAAATTTATTTTATATACGCGCAGTGCTGCACAGCCTATCTCGTAGGGCTGCCAACTGTTAAGGTGCAATTTCATTGACGCTAAAAAGTAGCGTCAATGAAAAGGCCGCTTTACACACTGAAAAAGTTGAAACTGTTTGAACTTTATTTTATTGACGCCATATCTAGAGAAAGTCTAGTGATTTTAATTTGCCGCTGGTTTCTAGCGTGAAATTGCACCTTAATACATAAGGCCGGGTCTACAATAGGTAATTTAAGCTTCTCTCTGCTTTCAGTCTTCTCTCTGGTAATAATAGCCATATGCGGATGGTGATTGGTTACCGTGGATTCACCTCTTATGTCCAATCATTTTTTGTGTTTTAATCATGAACTATAGATTTTATTCTAGATTTTACTCTTCGCTAATTTCGATGCAAGGACAGCCATTTTCACGTGGGTAGAATATAAGGTTGGGTAAAAAAAATTATATATATATTATGTAATTTCTTATTTTTGTATACTTTGTAGAGCAAAGATAAAACAGTAATGTCAAATATTTGCATATTTGACAGTTCTGATTGTTTTACCTTTATAATTATATGTTTACTATCACGCTTTATCGAGAGATATCAAATTCTGCGACACCCGATGTGTTTGCCCACATGAAAATGGCTGTCCTTGCATCATATTTCACATAATCCGTGATAGATCTAATATAATAACAAGTGTAATATATATATGGAAGCCTGATCGTTTTTTCCACCAATTATTCTTTATATGCTGATATATTGCTGGCAACTGCTGATTTCCAATAATGCATTTGTGTATTTAGGATTTACGTCAGTGGATGATCAACAAGAGTAAAAAAAAAGTAATAAAAAGCGACTGTGGCGTAAACGAATTTGCAAGGTATGTACTCTTGTCTTTTGCCAATACATCTTAAATTAAACAATATCTATTACCTTGTTTTTGTTTCTGACGTTAGTTTTTAATATAAATGACTTTGAATAATTTTGAATAATGAATGATATCTCGACAAAATTATGCATTTCTTACAGAACATTATTGTAATGATATCCTTAGGAGATATAAAGCTTGAGTAACGAGGATGGAGTGTACAAGACAGATATTCTCTGCACTGCTTATTCTATTAACGCTATATTACACAATATCAACTTATGTTGGAGATGCTCAGCAGATTGATGAGCTCTCTAAAATCGGTTGGCTTTTTTCCGATGCTTCTGTTAAGATTAAGAGAGTTGAACGAGCTTTAATCACTGCTGGAAGAGGATTCGAGGATGACGGTTCACCAAAGACTATAAGCGGCAGTTGCCGAAATAAGTTGAATGATCTTTGTGGAAATATAGATAACAATAATGACGAACTCATGCTGCTTGAGTGCATTCAAACGTTCAAGGTATATATTAAAGGAAAAGGGGATAAATTTTTTTTTAGAGATCTAACTGTTGTAACAAATTTTACAGCCTACTGAGATGTCCGGAATCAACCATATGTGTCAGCAGGCAATTTGGTCATATATTCAGAATATTACAAACAATCAAAATATAAAGAGGCTTGCCATGAAGGCGTGCGGTCTTGCACAACTGAGCATTCTGGAATGTTCAGATTCTGATAAAATCCCTGGAGCGTATCTTTCTTGTTTGATCGACAAACGAGAGATGATCAGAAATCCTGATTGCATTACTTACATTCAGAGATTAGAGTGGATTGCTTTCAGTGATTTCAGAATTCTGACTCCTTTTAAGGCAGATTGTATGAATGACATTAAAATCTTTAAATGTGATACTCTGCAGCCCTACAGAGATATATCACAAGGTCAGATACTAGCTTGTCTGCAGGAACATGTTGAACAGCTGCAACATGAATGCAGAAAACATATTCTTCATGTGTCTGAAATTCAAGCAGAAAATATCAAACTGGATCGTCAGTTATACATGGCATGCATTCACGATCATACGAAGTTCTGTCCTAACATTCGGCCAGGCAGTGGTCAAGTCTACAAATGCTTGATGCAACATAAAACTGATAGGTAGATACTCAAATATAAAAAAAAAAAATAAATATTTTGATGTAAGTCTAAATTCAAGGATCAAGAGTTTAATAATTTAAGAATCTAAAGAGTTAAATATTGGAATACTTATATACTAACCTGAGGAATCCAATATAATTTCATTTAAAAATTTTGTTTTATCATATTTCTTAGATTGTGTTTCTATTTACAGATCAATGACCGCTCAGTGTCAAGAACAATTGACGAGGAGGGAGAAGCTTATTGCTTCTGACTATAGAGTTAGCAAGGGTTTAGTTAAAGCGTGTAAGGAAGATATCAGAAGTAATCACTGCAGGCGATCCGTGTCCGACGACAAGGACATCAAGTTAGCGCAAATCTTGCTTTGCTTGGAGTCGGCTGTTAAGAACGGTAGCAAGATCGATGGGAATTGTCAAGCAGAAATGTTCGATCACAGAAAGCTCCTGATGGAAGATTATAGATTGTCACCGGAGATCGTGGATGGATGTGCCAACGATATTACGGCTTTTTGCAATAGTCTCGAAGTCGGCGGTGCAACGATACACTGTCTGATGGAGCATACGAGAACAAGAAAAAAGAAATCGAGAGTCGCGCCGAAATGTCAAAGAGCGGTAAACAATTGATAGAAACAAATTAGAGATTTCAGAATCCAAAGTTCTAAAATAAGTAATAATCAACTTATTTATAATATTCTTCGAAAGATATTCTCTAAAATTTTTAGAAACATTATTAAAAACACTGACAAAAGATGTATATCATTCAATTTCTTTATTATAAAATATTTTATATTTTATAATTTCAGTTGGAGGAGTTAATTATGGAAGCTGATGCTGGCGAAGATTGGAGAATTGACCCGATTTTAAGAGAACGATGTCAGCCTGTTGTCAATCTAGCTTGCAGAGATGTAAGTTTATACATGAAAATAGACAAGCAAATTCTGGTCTATATACAAAATTTATATTTCTTCATTTATTGAATTTTCTTGTTAAGCACTATCTTTAATATCTAATGTAGGTACACGGTGGAGATGCTAGAGTGATATCGTGCTTGATGGAACAATTAGGGACAGAGAGGATGACGGAGGCTTGTGAGACTGCTCTAGTGCAAATACAATACTTTATCGCTAGAGACTTTAAACTGGATCCGCAATTGTACAAAGCATGCAAGTTTGACGCTGTACGTTTGTGTCACGCGAGAAACGCATGGGCGAACGATGGTAAACAGATGGATCCTGAAACAGGACCTCTCGTACTGCCATGCTTGTATCGGCATGTATATCAGAAAAATATGACGGTAAGATTATTAAGACTGCATGAAACGCATAATTAATTTTTGATTAAATTAGTTTAATAAACTTTAAAATAATTCTAAAATAATTTTAGCTGTTAAAGCACAATTTGTTATTATTCTAAGAAAAAAGATATAATTTTCTTTCTAATTATCTTTTTCTTTAATTTTTTTCCATTATTTTCTGTTATTTAGTTGAAAACAGATTGCTTGGACGAAATTAGAAGAGTTATGAGGCAGCGTGCTGTAAATGTCGACTTGCAACCTGAGATAGAAGAAGTGTGCTTCAATGAACTAGCATTACTTTGTTATGATAAAACTGGAAAGGGAGAGGAGATTCTTTGTCTGCAGGATAATTTAGACAAGTATTAATTCTTTTATATAATAGAACCTACTTAAATAATGAAAATTTGAAAATTGTTTAAAGCTACCTGATCTTTTATCATTTATTAAAAATGTAATACTTATGTATACATTATAAAGGAAAATATTTGTTTATAAACTTTCTAAGAATGATTTAAAATTATTTTTGATATTATTAAATTGTTTTTGCTAAGATTAAACGATATTATTAAAATTGTATTTGTATTGCAGCTTGAACAAAAAGTGCAAGCTTGCAGTTGGAAATTTCACTGAAGAACAAGCAGAGCGTGTCGAGCTGAATCCTATCATTTCTTCCGCTTGTCAACATATTATGGAACGTCATTGTGAGGTAAATTATTAAATCTACAATATTATATATTTTACAAATATTACCAATGAGATTTACATATATTTTAGGAGGTACTAAAATATGGGAAGGACGAGGGAGATATGATGGAATGTCTTATTGAGCACAAAAATGAGCTAGATGCACGCACTGATTATAAATGTAAAGCTGCTGTAGAACATTTCCAATTGATATCTTTAAAGAATTATCATTTTACATATAAGTTTAAAGAGGCTTGCAGGCCATACGTTAAAAGATGGTGTCCTAAGTAATTAAATTTCTCTTTCGAAATATATGATTATAAAATATAAATATTTTAAAACTTATAAACGCATTTTGTAATTTAGATCGAAGACGAAAGCCGATGTGATAGAGTGTTTAAGCTCGATTGTGCAGGAGGATATAATAAAAGAGTCCCAGCATCGCGTGTTGAAGGATTGTAGACAGCAGCTGCGAGCACAACTTTATCAGCAACGAGAAAACATTCATTTCGATCCTATCTTACAAGCGGCCTGCGCAGTAGACATTAAACAATATTGTTCTAATATTCAACCAGGCAATTCGCAGGTAACAATAGTTAACAATTATTTAATACAGAGGAGATGGCTATCTGCTTTTTTATTATATTTACATCTTGTATATATTTAACTTGAAAAATTTTATTCAAATAATTTTTTTTATATATAGAGAAAATATAAATTAATAAATTATAAATAATTATAATAAATATATAAATTATATTTATATATTTATTATATTTTATTCTCTAATAAATATATAAATATAATTTATATATTTATTATATTTTATTCTCTATTCATTAAAAGTACAATATCAATTTTTCTTCTTTCTAAAATATTATTAACTATTTTAGTTGGCCATTCTTAAGCCAATTTTACTATGATATTGTTAAAATCCATATTATTTCAGGTACTAGAATGCTTGGCATCGCATAAGTCTAAGTTAACAGACATGTGTCACAAGCAGCTGTTTAAAGTGAGGAAACAAGAGTTTCAAGATAGTTCCAGCGATGTACCTCTATTGAACACTTGTCGAGTTATGATTAGGCAATTTTGCCACGATGTGAGCAAATCACAAACTTTGGATTGTCTGAAGAGATACAAAGATGAGCTTACTTTTGATGACAAATGTAAGAATATTGTGATTCGAAGAATGATTGAACAGAATACAGATTATAGATTTAATACTGCGTTACAAAACGCGTGTGGTTCCGATATCGATAGACATTGCAAAGAAGTAAGAGAAATTATATATAATGTAATATAAAATAATTTAATAATTAATATTTTTTAATATGTGTATATATTATATGTGTGGGATTATATTATTTTAGGTATTGGTACATGAGCGTACTGACAAAGAACTAGAAGGAAAGGTAATTAGATGTTTGAAAATCAAATTTCGGGAATCGAAACTGACGACTAAATGCGAGCATCAAATGGCTAACATTCTTAGAGAAGCTGCATTGAATTATCATTTAAATCCATTATTAGCAACCATGTGTGCACATGAGGTAAAAACCAATAGAATTTTATAAAGATTTTCGTTAAACGATTATCATTTAATATTTAAAAATTCAATTATCAGACAAGACATTTTTTACAGTTATATATAAATTTAGTTATATAAAATTCAACTTAATTATATCTAACTCTAAGTTTATGAAATTTGTATTCTGTTAGATTGAAACTATATGTCGATCGGATGAAAATGAGCGACCTGGTACTGTCGAGGAGTGTCTCAAGAAAGAATTCAATGCCGGGAATAAAGATATGAAGGAAGAATGTCGTTTGGAAATCGCTGATCAGATAGAACAAACAAGGGCTGACATCAATGTGGATCCCTTGCTGCAAAAAGCTTGTGCAGTGGATGTCAGCAAATATTGCAGTGCTGTACCTCAAGGCGCAGGAAGACGTACGTAATATTTTTTCTGGAAACAATTTCTTTTGTTAATGATTTTGAAAACAATATAATGAAATAAATAATGATTAAAAATGAACAATTTCTTTTAAAGTATTGTGTATTGATTTTTATATGTAATAATATATAGATTTTTTTAAGTGCACATCTAATATAAATATGTTATATAGAATTTTAAATCTAAAATAGATATATAAAATTTGTGTTTCAAATTATTATAATGAATCTTTAAACATATATTTACTTTGTTAAATATGGTAACATTCATTAATAATTTAAATTATATTACAGATATAAAATGCTTGCAAAATGCATTACAAGACAGTAATAAACCTTTGCAACCTGATTGTTTCAAGATGTTGACTACGAGGATGGAAATGTTTAGAAATGCTGATAAGGTCTGCTGTCAAAATACTTATATTATTTTTTTTATCCTGAAATAATCGCATTTTATTTGTCGTGTTACAGTTAATCGCACCAAATTCGTTCGAGGAGCTGTATTCGTCGGTAAATCGTTCCCCAGCGCGGCGTTACTTCATGGTCGTCGGCTTCACCATGATTGGGATAATCTTTATCGTCGGAATGTTCTGTGGTCGAGTGACCAGGCGGACGATGATTATGAAAAACAAGTGACGACGCGGCCGGGGTCCGTCTACTAGTGAAATGACTTTTGTGAAATTAATCGAGGGATTATAAGTGCGTAAATTGTAACGTGCATTGATTCGATCGACGATCATGAAATGCAGAAGTTTTACAATAAGTATAAAGAGGTAACATACCTTCTTTTTATACCTTCGTTTATGAAGTTTTTAAAGCGCAACTTTTTGTATTTGTAAATGGTATGAGGTTTTTGACGTGGCTGCTAGATGTATACGTAAAATATCACGGAAGGGGGAATTAAAAAATGCGAGTATCTTAAGAATTAAAAGAAGAAAACGTAAAAAGATTTAAAAACTATTTAAAAATATACTATACGTTATTACGTGCGCGCGCGTACATACAATATCATGATTCCAGAAATACAGGGTGTTTTATGAAATTTGCGACAAGCTTCAAGAGTTTTTACTTGTCAGAAAAAAACTCTCTTGTAGAAGCTCTTTATTGTAGCAGTGATAAAACAAGCTATGTTATTTAATTGTAAATTTTTATATTTCGTAGATCGCGTAATTCGTTGCGAAAAAAAAGAAAAATTATGTTGATTTTGAATAGGATTTTAAGATTTTTGACAATTCTTTTTGTCGGAAATGATATTTTACCTAGATGAACATTATTATATTTTATTTTTTAAGATCTATTTGTTCGCAGATTTCAAAAAAGGCAAAAGAAGCAAGAGATGTAAAATTATGAAATAAAATAAATGAATTCATTAATCTGTTTTTAGTAAAACGACGATTTTAATAAAAAAAAAACAAATTCTAATAGTTTGCGCGGAAAAGAACCGCTCATGAATCGACCATGTGTTTTATTGATGCCTGGATATTGTCTCGATTTAAAAATAATGTAAAAAGAGAAGGAAAAGTGAGAAGAGAAAATACAGATATCTATATCTATTCGAAGTAAGTACGGTATTCCTCCCGTATCTCTTTCCCTCGGGGCTCATTCAACTTGTGCAATGCAATTGCAAAATGAATGAGAACATGTCTGAGGATTCCTTTTGAAACACAGTTCTCGAGTAACTATTGAAGTAACTGCGCAATGCGCACAAGATTGATTATTCCTTAGGGACGTAAATTCCTGAGGTCATCTCGCAAGAATGATTCGCATACAAACGTAAGGATGAGTCATGGGCCGGTAGTACGAGACGCATTTATTGTATAGAACGTGACGCGATATATCTAAGTTTTCTGTACGTTTGTGATATGAAAAGGACGAATAAAGATATTTAAAAGTGATTTAAATCTAAGGATATATAATATATGTGCACTTTAGCTTTGAATTTTTCATCTGCACATTTATATATATATATATATATATATATATATATATATATATACACACATATTTATATACATATATAAATATATGTATATTTATATAAGAATTTCAAATCAAATTTGAAAAAATTATATATATATTTATTTTTTTCAAATTCTTATATAAAAATGTATATATTCATAAAGATTATAAATTTTTATTTGTCTTAAAATATACTATATATTATAATGTGTGACATAAAAAGTATATATGAGTAGTATAAATTATTTATATAATTTTAATTATTTTTCTTAAATAAATAAATAGCTTGAATGATGTCGGTAAATCTGTGTTTTAACAATATATATAATCTTACACACAACTTTTATTATATATAGTTCTAAATTTCTTAAAGTTTAGATAAAAAATATACGCGGACGGGTATTTCGAATTACTTCATATTTTCCCGCGCTTTTTATTTGAAAATATCGAAAGAAGAAACGTCAAATTTTAACCGCATGCGTGTTTTACCTTTCGATATTAGGTATGACATTAGATTATATTGACTCATTGGTATTCAATACATCGTTATATTTGTTATAAGTTGATTTTATTTCAACAATGTTCACTGGTAATTGCCAAATATATGCGGCAATGTTCACGAAGACCGCCATGTTTACTTTGTGTCGTGTCTTGTCGGTTCAAACGTCGTCTCGTACATTGTTCGTGTACTACATCATGTCTATCGTCGCGAATAAATTATCGATTAAGTATCTCGCGCACTAAGTGAATGCATGTATAATAGAATTAATTAACGCGTGTTGTTCGCGATTAATCCTCGATATATTGGCACTTGACAATCGTGCGAAAAAAAGGAAGGAAAACAGGTACGTATAGATAATGGAAGGTTAATCCGTATTCAACTTAAATTTACGATTTTAAAAAATTGAGGATTGAAAGATCTTTTTCAATCACGTTCAATCATTAATTTCAATACATTATTTGAAATTTCTTTCCCGAAAGAAAATATTTAATTCCCTCTTTAATTTTTCTTTAATTTATTATTTATTTCTTGAAATAAAGACAGAAAAATTACCTTAAATGTGATAAAATTTGTCCTCGAGGAGCAAACATTCAAATATTATCTTTCCTTTTGATCGGGATATTTAAAATTTTAAATTTAATATTTAATTACTATTTATATTGTAATTACTACTGCAATAAAATTTTATGTAATTACTATTACATATTATACATTGTAATTGCTATTTACATTGTAATTATTATTGCAATTAATATTTAAATACATCAAATTGAAGGCAATAATTTTGCACTCTTTTTGCCGAATTTTATTCTATGAAAATAAATTTGGCTTAATGATTGTGATTATATTTATCAAAATATTTTGTCCCCGTGTATGTGTCGCAAACTTTTCGTAAATGTAGTTTTTTTACAAAAAAAAATCTAGACTTTTTATAAAACGTCAGTTTACAAAGATTCGGAATTTTTTGAAAAGGTTGAATCTTTTTTCAAAAATTCTGTGATACATATATATACGTACATGCGATGGTAATTGGTTGTTTCATATTGTTTCATATCAGTGTGAAAGATGTACGTGAGCGATTTTAAAGCGATGCACTTCATGAAAATTGGCGTCGTTGGTGGATATCGTGCAAAAGGAGTAGCGATGTAGCCAGGTATGAAATTCCATTTTTTTATCACGTATACTATTTACATACCTACTTTCCTACATTTTGGTGTCCCCATTCTCCCTTTTTGTTCCCTAGCTGCATGATACTACACATTCATTCCCTTTTATGATGTTTTTAATTCACACGGATTTGAGTAGCTGAAGCGCCATTCAATCCAATTTCACTTTTGGTTCGCTCGAAATGTATTTCGCGTTTGAACGGATGTATTTTGAATTTAAAAAATTAAATATAAAATATAAAAGGCCGTGTTTTAGGTTTTTGTGAAATGTTCTTGCATATTTTACGAGGATTTTATCGGTAAATTCATGTGTCCTATTTTGACACAGACAATACTTTTAGTAGAAGAGATTTGTTTCCAAAATTTATGAAGAACGATACAAAAAAATATGTCTTAGATATCTGAAACTTCTTCTCAAACATTAATATGCATTATCTAATTTGTCTAAAACCAAAGCATCTATCTTGATATTATGATATATTTTATCAATATTTTTTATGTATATAACTGAATTATTTTTGGTAAAATATCTCGATAAAATATAGAAAAAACTTCAAAACGATATTTCCACGATTTACTTAGTTTATTTATCTCAAATATTACATAATATAATTACTTATTTATCGTTTTTACGGTGATATGATTGTGTAGCAAATTGAATTATTTGGAATTCATCGATTGGTATTTTTTTTCAAACAAATTTAATAATCACAATCAAATATTAGCTATCCATTTTCCAATGAAATTTTTTTATTTATTTTCATTATATTAGTCGCCCTTTAAGGCCTCTAATATTTACGATACAAAATGAAGTAGATATAACAGACGATAAAGTGGGTCAAATGAATAAAGATGACGTAAATGCTCGTCAGCAAAAGACAAAAATTAACGCCGTCTTTTTTTCACGTGAAGAAAAAGATACTTTTTGTTTTACGAATAAATTGGTGTAATATACGTATATTACAAAGTAAAATAATTCAAATACATAAACATATATACCATATAAATAAACATATATACAATATAAATGCTAAACATATATACAATATAAATAAAATCAGCAATCAAACCGTGTATTTCTTCATATTAAAAAACAATTAAAAATGAATTTCACGTTACATGTTCGCTAAATGAAACCGTTGACCTGTGTTCCTCACGATATGAAATGAATAAAAAAGTATCGTTGAATTTTCGAAATTATGAAACTAATTATAAATCAATAATCAATTAAGATACATTACGCAAAAATTAAGTGGAAATATATCAAAGCGATATATTCCATGTGAACATTTTATTTTAAAGCAAAGCTATATGAACTTTACTTTTATCGAACCGACTTTTTTTACGGATAATAAACTTTTATTCACGTTTTATGGAAACTTATTTATGCATAATAAACGCAACTTTTTATTCATGTTTCTATAGCGACTGCTACAATCTTTGCTACCTCAAAGCAAAAACTTAAAGTTTGTACAGAAACAGACGCATAATAGGGTGTCCCAAATCAATAGCGCTTTGTCTGATTAATAAATTTTTTAATTAATAATTCTTTTCATAATAATGTCGAGATAAAAACACAATTTTAGAATTAAATAAATAAATTAAAATTAAGACTTCTTTGAAAACTTGTCTGCACTTTTTATAATGTGTGACTAATGAATGAAGTTCAAACAGAATTTTATCTTAAGTTTTATTATTGAGAAATATAAAGTCGAAACTTAAAAAAATTCCATTAATTTCATTAATTTCCATTAAGAGAAATTTGATTTAAGATTTGAGCCCAAGAATTCACAGATCATGAAAGATATGTGATTTGGAACGCCCTGTATATGCATATATTTTTCGCAACAACTGTCACGGCGAATAAAAGCAAAAGGCGAAAGCTTCATTTTATTCATACGTCCCGGTGGGAAAGCTGTAAAACTGTACAGAGATGGTGCACGAAAGATTAAGATTAAGATCTAAACTACTTGGAGACGGAAACCGGCGCGAAACTCGGTGCATCTTGGTAAGGGAGAGGGATAGATCATGCGCTCTGCATTCACACATTGGTCGGCACGAAGGGTGGCGGGTTTCCCAACCCTCGTCAGTTTGACGCCGCGTGCGAGCGTATACAGATCTGTCGTGACCGTTGATTCGCGAGAGAAAGAAAAAAAGGAAGACAGAAAGAGAGAAAAGGAGAGGCAAAAAAAAAGAGTTTCGTCGTTTTTCTAGGGAATTGTTGTAAAATGTCGACTGGCAGGACGAATCTGTACACTCGATTCATCGATCCGACTTGAAATCGACGATTAATCGAAAAGCGCGAAAGAGAAAAATACAAACACGTTTTCGTCAAAGATTATAATTAATATAATGTAAGGTAAATTTTGCATGCAGTTTTTAGGAAACGAGAGAATTTGCAAAAGATACACATTTTTTAATCCGCGCGATTAAAAGAATGATATAGTTAATTTAATCTGATTTGATTTCTCTCGATAATTAATTCGATCTTTAATCTTTAATAATCTTTAATGCTCATGATAGATAGATTATACGAATGATTAATATATATATTGTTTGAAAAACATTATTAATAATATGGATTTAACGCGGAATTCAAAATATTCACAATATTATTTATATTGATCAATTGAGATTAATTGTAAATCAGCGTTCCCCATATTTTATAATTTTTGGGAGATTTCTGTTATTCAAATTTGATAAAAAAATATAAATTGCGATGCGAAGCATTATGACAGAAAAGAGATTTTAATCGCCGGATATTGCCAGAATTAAATTACGCTTTAGAATGATTTTTAATTCCGAAGAGGTAACGTATTGTGTGCGCTGAATTTTCAAACCAATCTATAATAAAAACCGGAAAGCAGGTTATCAGAAAATTTGTCAATTTTTTTTGGTGCTGTGAAAAAATTGTAAAATTATTTCTCTCGTTATTTGTTTCTTTAGCTGCAGAACGAGGTAAACTATGTGAGTTGAATTCGCAGTCTGGCTTTTACTTTTACTCTTTTCGTGTGAGTCGCTTTTCGCTTGCGAAAATATAGAAAAAATATAGAAAAAAATATATAAAAGAAAATTGAAAAGTTTATTATTGATAAAATCAGGCTAATTACTCGATATCGCAGAGAAACCGGCTCTTTTTTCAAAACTATTATTAATTTGACCGATTCAAAATATTTCGATGTAAATTAAATTCTCGTTAATCTCTCCTGATTTATAACGAGTGATTAAAATTTCAGAAAACCTCAAAACGTTTATCGCAAAATCGAATTAGTTCCCGTATTCGAGCATTGAATTTATCTCAAAGCAATTATTAATTTGCGTAATTACGGAACAATGTGTCAATGCGAATTTAATTTTCATTAATGAGATCTGAACCGAATGCGATTTTTGATGTCAATTTTGCACGGGTTGCGTTGGGTTATGCGTAAAGTTAGGCGAATATTGTATTCTCTTGATATCATTGGTAGAGTTAATGATTGATTATCGTATGATTGAAGGATGATTTATCTGGACATTTAATTTGGATGATCAGTTACTGTGACAATTTGTACATTTGCACTTTTGCTCGCATTTTACGTTTAAATTTCTTCAAAATCTTCTTACTGCTGAAAACGTGAGAAATTTATTATTAAAATAATAGAAAAACACGTAGTTTATTTTACGATTATTTTTTTTTATTTAATTAATTTATTTAATTTATTTAAATACATTTGTTGAAACATGCGTGTTGCATGAACGGCACCTGTTTGGCTAAATAAATAAAGAATGATCGACTAACATGACAAGAAATTTATTAATACTAATTTAGAAATTTCTTAATAGAAAGAAATTTATTTATTTATTAAAGAAATTTATTAATAAAAATTTATTAATTTTTATTAATACTAATTTATTAATACTAATAAGTATAATCTTGTTAATGTTGTCATCAATTGCTAATGGGATAAAAGGCCGACGCATGCATAGGGGTAAATTTGTCACGTGTCAATTTTCCGTTGAAACGCGCCATCAGATGACGTGAATGTGCTATAATCTATGATAACACGTGCGTGTGAATTACGAACTCGGGAAAGACAAGTTGGGGCTGTTTTATCGCAGAGTGAGGATCTCAATTAATTGCAATTACCTGTGAAATTGCTATCGGACTCGCATCAGAATTAATGAAAAAAACGCTCTTTATTCCCGTTCTCTAGATCGGAAGATAACGATTGTATGATAATCGCACATAGTGAATGCCGATCGAAATTATGATGATATGGTCAAGCCGGGAGATTGCTTTCAGATGAAATCAATGTAATATCCCCGAGAAATTGACCAAAGATTTTTATCTTTGCACATTTTTCCAATTCCCGATCATCTCCGAGGCCGAGATTGAAATTCTGATCCATAAGTCGCGCAAAAATAACTGAGGGAATCGGATTATTGCAAGAGAGAGATCTCGATTAACATAGCTCCCGCGTAAAAACATTTCACGTAGTCTAATCTCAAGAGCGTCCGCATCGAAAACGTATCACCGACAGATCGATTTGCCGCGAGGAACTCGAAGAACAATGATTGCAAGCGAACGCATGTACTACTGGTGAAGGAAAAACGAATGCTGAAATGGTGCCGGCTGCAAGTGGAGATTAGGTCGATTGCAGAGATGCTGAGGGACTATTAAGCACTCCGGATCTATTAAGGGACACGATCGAGATATAGATTAGATCCAAGAGACGTGATTGTGCGGCAAAGATGCTATTCGTCGCTAGGATTTATTAAGCACCGTGACTTGAGAGGAAACTCAACATTGCGAAGATGTTGGAGAGTTATTTTCAGGACCTATTAAAGATCAGAAATTCGGGAGGAATGTAAGGATTACCTTCAGCCATCTCTCTTACAAAATTTTCATCAGCGATTTATTAGAAGTAGATTGTGCAAATACAATGTAACAATGAAAGATTACGACGTTGACCTCGAGGAATATTGTAGCATAGGTGTATATCTCACCGGGAGATGGAGAACTACATTAAACGGGGACACGTTGATGTGAAATCGATCAGAAGAAGTATATAATTGCGCGCTAAAGCATGTCACATTATTGCGAGCGACTGTTCCAGACGAACGACAATTCCTTCGTCGGTTGGAAATGTCAGGATTAAATTCAATCGAGTCCTTCGAAGAAGCGTCTCGCGAGCGGATGTAACAGGCGACAACAGGCGTTGCGAGGAAGGATGAGCGGCTGAAGATGAGTGCGTCAGGTTATTGGTGCGCGCTCATCCTGCTCACGTTCACGCAAAATTCCCTCGGCAATCACCACGAGAAGCTTCTCCAGGTCGAGAAGCCGAAGGGGTATCTGCGGCATCAGCAGAACCACCGCGCCTCGTCTTTCGTCGACCGTAAGCTCGTCGACGCGACGGAATTCCGTGCTTCCGCCGAGATCCTCTCGACCCTCAACGGCCCCTCAGCGATTCGCTCGATCGCGGAAATCGATCGCACATCGGAGACAGAGGAGGCGGAGGCGAAGAGGGTCAATCGTCGCGCGGAAATCCGTCCGATAATCGCGCGTTCGCCGGAGATCGCTTCCGGGAGGGTCTGCGAGATTCCGCCGGTCGAACTCGGGACGATGGAGAAGCGGCCCTTGGCGCGAATTCCCTCGGCGGAAGTTCCCTTGCGCTCGCAAACGGAAGGCCATCGTTCCGCGAAGGAAACTCTGCCGACGGAGGTGGGACCGATGGAGGTCTTCCGGCTGGGGATCGAACAGGAAACGTCAAGCGTCGAGAGATCGCAGATCCGGCACGGGAGATCGAGGAGCCACTTCGCGCGGCAGAAGATCGAGGACTCCGCAAAGGACTCTGTCCTGAATAACGTTCGCGTGGGTCGCGAGAATCACGTCAGGACGCATCAAATAGCGGAAAGAGTGACGGACTTCCCGTCAATTCCACTCAAGCATAATCATTCCTGGCTTCTCGAGCGGAATTTCTCAAAGGATAACTCGGTCAACAGCCAATCTTTCGATCGAGTCGAGGATAATGTTCCGGAGGGACCGGAAAGTTTGCTGAAGCTGTATCAGGCAAGAAAAGGAAGCGCCCCCGAGGAAAGTTCCGCCATTCCTCTCACGCGTAATCTTTCCCGGCTGATCGAGCAGAATTTCTCCAAGGATAACTCGAAGGCGAGGAACGGCGGATTCCCGGATCAAATCGAGGACGAGACGCGGAAAAATTCCAAAGGTGGTACAATCAGAACTCGCCATTCGGAGAATCACGGCGTTTTGCGATCGAGTCCCGATTCCCTGAAGAATCCCTTCAAGAACGATCCTCTGAGTAAATTGAAGAAAGCAATATTCCTGAACAAGACCGTCGCGTCGACAGCCCCGATCGATCGTAACGCGAACGAGACCCTCGGCGTTGATGCGGCTGATGCGAACACCAGCGAAACTATCCGCGATCTTGAGGAGGAGGAGATTCTGCAGGAAGTGATGGACTACCCGAGCTACGAGGAATCGGCGAACGCTTCTTCCCTCGATTGGTCAGCTCGAAGAAGATCGCAGGCCACTCAGGTTGACATTGTGACGCGTTTCCTGCGGATAATCGAGAACCAACACACCCTGGGCGAGAACTGCACCGCCGGCACCGATTTGAACCTGGGCGAAGGCGTAGTGGATCAGTACGCGCAGGAGAGATTCCGCCTCGAGGCGGAATTCACCGTCAATCGCGCCAACATGCTCACCAGGTTGTGGAAGTATGCGCCGGAAGTGATGCTGTCATCCGAGTATCTACTCCACGCCAGCGTCCTTTCCATGGTAGAGTTCGACGAGGACATCTTTGCTGCCGGCAATTGCTACGACAAGCTGCAGTATCGAAATCGCTGGCTCTACTGCCCGTTTGCTCATAGGCTGCCCAATCAGGACGAGATCCTGGTGAAGGATCTCGCGATCGAGTACAAGTACTTGAGCAACAGCAGCGAGTGGTTCTACATCGCCAGGAAGAACGCCGAGAGGGTGATCGCCAGTTACGAGCAGTTCAGCCGAGGTGAGTTGTTGCCACCGTCTTTAGATTGCTCTCATTAATATTGCTAAAAAAAAACCATCAACTGATTTTCCTCCTCGAGAGACTCTCTGTTCAGTAGATTCATTCTTTATTCAATACAAACGAATTTTCCGGAAAATAAAAAACAAACTTACTTGATAAATGAAGCGAAAATTGTGCGAATAAATATAGACAGGTCAATATTGGTTGTTTAATAGATGGATTGCCAATGTCAATTCATGAATTATTAAACACGTCGGGGTTTTATTTGAATCCGCCGAGCCAAACAATCGTTCATCAATCCCATTCACGGAGCTAGTCAAAAATTTTTTCTCAGTCATAATTGAAGAAAAAAAGGAACACATGTAAAATTTTAATTAAATAGTTTGCGAGGGGGAACATTTAGGCGAGTTTTCGGACGAGTTTACATTTCGTGTTTACATCTGGCGACTCAGCAATATCGTCTTCTAATCCGTAATTGTGTGCACCGGGAGTTGAACAAGTCGATAACAAAATGGGCGCGGATGCTTGCGGGCAACATTGTAACAGCCATGTACACTCGACAGCAGTCAATTAGTTTAACGTGCGGCAGTAATCGGCAGTAGTATAACTGCAGCAAGAATATTAAATAATATATATATATATATATATATATATTATATATAATATATATATATATATATATATATATATATAAATTGGTCATAGTATACATTATTGCAAATCTATTACTTTATTACGGCGACATATAATTAGGGTTGGGTAATAACTAGTTGATTAGTTAAAAGTTAAAAAAAAAGTTAAAAAGTTAATAATTTTTAACTCAACTTAGTTATTTTAAAAAGAGTTAACTTTTAACTTTAACTAGTTATTTTTAAAACACATAAACTTAAACTTATTAACTTTCCCCCCAAATTTATTTGTGTGTGATGATTCATATTATTATTATTTAGAGTAATCTAATTTTAAAATTACAATCTAATTTAATATAAAGTGAAATAATGCTTTTCAAAATTTTAACTTTTATCTTAACTAACGTTAATTTAATCTTAATGTAACTTTTATTGAGTTAATTTTTTATTTGTATAATTTTTAACATAACTAAATTAATTTTTTAACCCATTAAATTTTAACTTAACTTAGTTTTAAAAAAATATAAACTTTCCCAACCCTGCATATAATTAAATATATTATGATAATTTTATTTTTATTAATATTATATATATATATATATATATTTATATATTTATATATTTATTTATTTATATATACATAGCAAACACTAAATAATAGTTATATATCTGTTAGTTATAATTTCCAACTCAACAATACATGTTATGTAACAGTTAATAACATGTAATAGTTATATTGCTGAGTGGGAAATTACAATTAACAGTTATATAAATGTTACTTGGTGTTTGCTGGGTGTATTATTTCATATATTTTTCTTGTTATATTATTATTATATATTGTTATATCTTGTTATATTATTATTATATTATTATGTATATATTATTATTTACTTCATATTCTGTGTTATCCAATCGTTGTTTTATATAATTACCTGATTACGACGTGTTGATTTTTTTTGCACTGCTCGTTACCGAGATTGTTATGTGTTGTAAACTTTTTTTTTAATCTTATGCCTTTTTATAATCTTCTCTGCTTCCGTGCATCCGTATGTCTGTCTGCAAGACAACGGTATTGTAGATGCCCGCAGAGTAGCATTTATCTGCCTCCTGGTTAAACAAACTGTCCTATTTTCAGCAGAAAACTACAATAATTACATTTTTCGTTTAATCTTTTCGCTCTACAAACTGAAAGCGAACATCGTGGGAAAAAATTTTCATTATATTTTAAGATTTATTATTCTAATCTCCAGCTTTCTCTATAATGTAATTAATAAATATTTAAAAATTGTCCTCTTTTAAATTAGAAACTCTGCAGCGAATTAATTCGTGAATAAATTAATTCGCTCCCCGCGAAATAATCTTAGCGAATTTATAGGAATTCCTGCTTGATAACTTTGCACAATAATGAAGAAGTTCCATGATCTTCTCCAGGCTCTCAAAGAACTTTATTTTAATTTACGATGAAACACGTATAATCGTTTCTTTCTCCATATTTTGAGATATATTCTCAGCAAGAAAATGTGTGATTACACATTTAATTTGTAATGTCCGCGCGCGCCGCATTGTGGTAAATATTTTCTAAGGGAAAAGCTTTGCCAGTGCCAATATGTCCACTTTCTGTCTTAAGTTACTTAAGTTTGACTCGAAATATTGCTTTTCCCAGTAAAAGGGTTTAAGCTTGTTAACCTCTCGCCAAGTAAGTTTTTTAATCTCGCCAATAGGAGAGGCAGGTGTCCTTAAAATGTGTACGAGAGAAAAGAAATCGTACAACAGGTACAGGTAGAGAGAACGCGAGATAAATTTTATATATTATATTATAATATTATATATAATATTATACATAATATTATAATATTATATATAAAATATATATATATATATATATATATATATATATAAACACTACATGAAAGAAGAAAAATTACACGAATTACGAAACAAATATTCTTTTTATCTGAATTTGTTAAGTATTTTAAATCAAACAATCAAACAATTTACGAGCGAAAGATTATTAACATTTCTTAATTTAATTTAACATTGATAAAATTTTTTAGTATTTTTTCTCCAAAAAATGTAATTAAAAATAATTATAATTTTAAACATATATATACAATTTAATTATTTTTTAATGAAATTATTCGTCTTTATATTTCTTCCTCTTCCTCTTTCTCTCTTTCTCTATGTGCGTTTTAGCAATAAAAATTGTTCATAAATGTTGAAATGAGAAATTAATGTTAAATTAAGAAATATATATATATGTTAATATTTTTTTTTCCTAAAATGTTCGATCGATTGATTTTAAATACGAAGCCCACACACACAGGTCAAATAATATTTAAAAAATCTGCAATTTTCTTACACATCTTTTTTATTTTAAAATTTATACATGTTAAAAGTGAGATACCTAAACAATTGAAAACGTGTATAATATATGATTGAAAATATAATACATTTTTCTGTAACAAAATGAAAAAAGGACGAAAAGAGAATATAAAGAAGGGAACACAAAAGAGAATATAAATAAAAATTGAAGGAAAGAAATATGCGATACATTTCTGCTTTAAAAAAATTTTATCTCTCGTTTCTTTCTCGGTTGCGCATAAATAATAATAACATACCTAAAATGTACGTATGCATTTATTTTGTAAAATATTTACCATATAATATCGTATATAACATATATATTATAATTATAATATTTTCATTTATCAAGTATTAAGTATGATTCTTCAAGAAAATGCATCATTATTAATAATGAGGCATTAAATCGTTAAACACCACATTTAATTTATGAAAGCCCATGTGTATTAAGATATTTTATCAAAACAGAAAAAAGCTTTAGAATACGGAACTAATCTCATCTTTTAATTATTTGTAAAAATTTCACTCTACCTTTATAATTCTTGTTTGAGGTTTAATTACTAAAATATTTAATTCAGAAAAGTAAAAGATGAAAAAAAAATCGTAGAAAAAAGAGAAAATATGTTTTCTATAGGATACTATTTTCCTCGATGAAAAGAGCAAAGCGGGTTGCACGCATCGATAGAATAAAAAATCTATCTCAGTAATAGTGTATCAATAGGGGTCTTCAAAATAGAAATAGCTTAACAGAAGATTCGAACGGAACTTCTTTTTAACAAGGAATCGAGACAGTGTTCCTTAGACGAGATGAATCCCTTTGTAGGAAGTAAATTTTCGATTTACAACTTCTTTCTTTCGATCTGAATCTATACGTGAGATGTTAACATACAATCTTGTTCCAGAAAATAAAATCATACACGAAAATTGAATTAAACGGACGAATTATTCGCGAGATGTTTCGCAAAGAGAGAAATGTTACGATAATACGTAATTTAAGGTCCGATTTAAGAAACATAAAAGATGAAAACGAAATAGTTGTCCCGAGGAATCAAGCGGCAAGGAAATGATATAAGAGATATTGATGAATAATGCACAATGGCAGTAGAAAAGAGAGAAACTTCCTTGGCACAGCCTTTCTTATTTATAGGAGTTTTAAGGAATACCTAGTTCGTGATATATGTTGTAGACTTTGAGCCAAGAACTAGGTGTTACACGCAGGCAGAAAGTTATGAAATATGCCCACTGCTTATATGTATTAGTGTATTATTTATCAATCGACAGAAAGGAAAAAGATCGCTGTGAATTGGAGATTTTCCTTGAAATGAATTTCAAAATGAATTAACGAAATTTTTATTGATGAAATATATTTTTAAAATATTTTAAAATAAATTGGTAAAATATATTTTATTTATAATACATAAAACTATATAAAGATTAATTATATTACATTATAGATATTATACACTATATAAAGATTAATTATATCACATTATAGATTAGATATATTATAATATTAGATATATTATAATTAGATATATTATATTATATATTGTGTATTTTTGACGAAAGAAATGTTTGATATTAAAAAATGTTGAGCGACGCGTAAATTTTTTAAGAATGTAATTTTTTGAAATGCGAAGTGCAATAAATTTCAAAATTAAAGGACGGGGAAAGTAGAATAGAGTATATGATGGAGAATTAATTCCGATGATGGTCCTTATCGCGTTCTCAATATTTTCGGCTTGCGGCGAATGTCCTTACGCTGCTGGGCGGTTCTGGAAAATCTCCAAGAGATAACAGAAAAACGGTTCAAAATGAACCGTCCCATGATATATAATGCGTTTGTTCAAAAGTATATAGTAGCACACGCCATATATCCTCATTTTTGCCGAGGACGCTCGCGTGTCGCGAAATCATCCGTCATTTATGTCCGCGCAAAATTACGGAAGCTTTGTCATGCGTTTCGTATGCGCAATATGAATTTAATATCGAAGCCTTTGTTGTGCATAG